TAACCATTGTTTTCCCTGTAAATCTCACATTTTAAATAATACCTTGTTTTGCTGTCTGTATAGCCTGAGAGAGCTCTACTTAAGGGATAATTGCCTGGCTGATGCTGGGATCAGGAAAATGACAGCTCCAGTGCGGGTCCTGCACAGAGGACTAGGATGTCTGAAGCTGCTCGATCTTTCTTGTAAGTCTGCATTCTTACAATTTCTACACACTCCCTGATTCATTTCATTCCTTACTCTACCTTGGAGTAGCTGAATCAATGCATCTTTGACTCTACCTGTACTTACTCTACTGTGAGGCTGCCCCTGCTGATCTCTCCTTACGAAACTTTTACTTTTACCTGGATATGATTCTATTTTATTGGATTTAATACTTTGTGCCACTGAACCAAAACAAGTGTGAAGACCTGGAGTTACATATAGTGACTTTACTGTAAACATGCTTGTTGAGTCAGTGGCTCAGTAAGTATAGAAGCCAAAGACAGCCAGGAAGCTATCCTCCTAAAGAGGTTTGCAGTAATATCCCTGATTTTATTTTATTTTTTTAATATTTGCATTTTAGGTAACCCAGGGATCACAGACGTTGGGCTCAAATTCCTGTTTGTTTTTAAACAGCTCCAGTACTTGGACATTTCTGGCACAGGTATCCAGGTAAGTGTACTTTGAACCACTACAGTCCCAGATTGCTTTCTCCACACAAGGCCAGACGACGTTTTCAGAGATGTTTGTCTTGCTCCCTGTAACTTTAGCATCATGCAAATTAGCAACCAGAGTTGGAGAGGAGCTGTGGCCCACCCCTTCAAAAAGCACTGGGGAGGCAAGCTGGATTGCAAACTGTGAAGGAAACTGGAGCAGACAAAATCTGGAGCAGCTGTCCGCGGCAACCAGTCAGCTTCTATCTTTCATATTCAACGCTTAACTGAACAAACTGAAGAGGGAAGCTGATTGGTTACTATCAGTAGCTGCTCCAAATTCTGTCCCAGTTTTGATAAATTGCCCCCTTAGTTCTGTTTGCTTATTAGGGTAACCTGTGTTTCAGGGACCTTGATGTGTTCTGGTAGTAACCTGGAAATGTCTGCTTGGGACCACTTTACAAGGTACATTGGGCCTATAGGTTTGCTTTAAAGGAGAAATTCACTTGGCACTTCTTGACTCTAAGCTGACATAACCAAACCCAAATGGAATATCACAAAAATCAAAATCTTTTCTGCAATAGAAATCTCTTTGGATGTATAGAAACTGCTTTGGATGTGGAATGGCATCCATGTGTTTTTTGTGCACATAGAACACTCGGAGGAAGAGAGAGGGATGATTGGGGTGCCAGGAGTGGCAATAAAAACTGTAAGAAGAAGCTTTGGCTTGAACATCACATCAAACCTTTGGGACACTGCACTGTAGAGCTCTACTGGCTGAACATTATTTGACTAGCTGCAATTACAACTGTTGTTCATGAGTAATTATTTTAAGTATCAGAATTACCTGCTAAACCCCTAATTGTAGCCAGGGTCAGTGTGAAAGAAACCTTATAGGGTTCCCATGATTTTGGACTCTGGAGATGTATGTGGCCACTTCTCCTCGGCAAGGCATAGCCAAGGAGGTCTGAATCAGTAACAGAAAAAGCTCTACTACTGGGTACCAGCGGGAGCTTTCCTTTTAGTGCTGGTGAGTTTTTCGTTTCTATTGTGATACCTTGTGTGTCCACCTACCATTGATGCAGGAATAAAAAAATATGTGGTTCTAATGTGTATGTTTGTTTTTTAGAATGACGGAAGCAGAAATATATGACCTCAGACTTGTTTCTTTTCTTTATCCATAGGATTCCAGTGCCACACGTAAGACAATAGAGACAAGAATGGGATTGTGCCTTTCTTTAAAACCGCTTTCTCAGTTTGATCACATAGACTGCAAGACACAGGGCTGGGCTGAACAGGTAGCTGTATATTTTACTGTTCTCTTATCCCAGAGTATTATCCACAGACAGCTATGACTGTTAAGTGCTATTTCATTGCATATAACACTCCCTCTGTTTCCTTGGCAAACAAACCAAGGCAAGGTTACAGTAGTGGAAACATAAATATAGAAAACCCTTACATACAGACATGAAACCCACAAAACCTTGGGATACAGATAGCTGTGATTACATACACACACAAATATATATATATATATATACTAATGATTACATAGATTTGTGTAAAGGACTCTGGTCCCATAAAGAAAAAATAAATACAGAATTAGAGACAGTCAGCAGCATTGAGTACATGTTTTATAATCTTTGATGCTGGATAAAATTAAAGATTGTCGAACATGTAACACCTACAGTATGGATATGATGCCTGCTACATGTCCTGACTGAGTGCTAACTTGTGAATGAATATGGTAGCTCCATAGCTTATTAGAGGCAGCAGGGTGATTTTAACCAGCTCACTGGATGTGCGTGGCCATTCTGAACATGGCAATGTATGTACTTTAAATTATACCAACACCATGGAAGGTCACCCAAAAAGATAGATGCTAAAAACGTCCTTTAATCAAATGAATAAACACTGGTACAAAATTATAAAGAATTGGTTCACAATGCAAAGGGTTTAATAATATGTAATGCTTCATTTAAATAATATGATTTGGCACATCACACAAATATGTACATGATTCAGATATGATAAATGAATATAACAATGGAAAGTAATTTTAGTTTAATGTAAAGAACAAATTAGTAAATGCAATGTGTATATACAATGTGTATACAATCAATATAGAACCGTGCACATAAGTGGGGGAAAAAAAGAATTGAAAATGATGTAAAAATGCACCTGGGCCCAGAATATGGATAGAAAAGTATTTGCGTATCCTTAACACTCTGTAAAAGAGCTTTAAAACAAGCCATCCCTGATCTTTCTAGCTGCATTTATTGTGAAGTAATTCACTCTCAAAGATCACAACAGTCATTTTCTAACTGCTTACAGTAGGGATGTTCAGATACCAAGTACCGTACTCGGTACAAGTACAGATACTTTTCCAGCTCCAGGACTAGACTAGAGAAACATTCACAAGTTAGGAGGCAGCTGTCATTTGTAAGGAGCACACGGAGCTCCCGGGATTTGTGCATCCCTGTTTTTAATGTATGATTTTCAATAAATCTATATAAGGGATGCACCGATACTTGTCCAAGTACTGATACATTTTTGTTTATTGTCATGTGACCATTTTTCTAAAACAATACAGACTAATGATTAGGGCTGCAACAATTAATCGACATAATCGATTATAATCGATTATTGAAAAAGTTGTCAACTTTTTCAATAATCGAATAATCGGCTTCTGATTGGTTGGCCCTGTTCACGGCTCCACACATGCTGCGCGCCACACCTCCTCCCCACCTCACGCTCGCCGCTGCCAGACCTGCCCGCATCCACGCTCCGCACCTCCTCTGCACCCCACACTCACCGCCCGCCCAAATCCACGATCGGCACAGGGACGCGGGGAGAAGTAAGGAGGAGCAGGTGTGGGCGGATATAGTGTCTTTTTACCCGACGTGACCCCATCTTTTATATTTTACCAAAAAATTGGGTAATAATAAATGTTTTATCATTTAATATAGGGGAAACTGTTTTTTTTTTTTTAAATTTCGATAATTTTTCCTTAATATAGTAAAAAAATAAAACCCCCAGTGGTGAATAAATACCACCAAAAGAAAGCTCTATCTGTCCCCAAAAAAGGGTATAAAATTCATTTCAGTACAGCGCTGCATGACGGAATAAATGTCAGTCAAAGTACCGCAGCGCTGAATACTGAAAAATGGCCTGGATGGGAAGGGGGTTTAACACCGCGGATGTCAACTGGTTAATAATCGGCTAACTAATCGATTTTGAAAATAATCGTTAGCTGCAGCTCTACTAATGATTTCAGGGCAGTGGTGGAGCACCAGAGCCAGGTCCCAGCTGCAACCCTGATAGTTCTCATGAAAATGCCAAGTATCGGCACTGGTATCTGAACATCTCTAGCCTACAGTATCTCCTGCGTGTTTACATTGGAGGACTATCCGCTACCAAGATCTGCTTCCATAGAAAGTAAAAGGGAAAGAAGTTGTGATATCAGTGCCTCCTATTGTAAGCTTTGAAAAAGGATTAGTCAACAATGTCTTTAGCTACAGAAGTAAATAAGGGCTTGTTTAAAAGTGCTTTTACTGCTTGTTCAGAATATGTAACTACTTTAGTGTGCATAGCCAGAACACAAATATAAATAAGCTAAAATACAAAGCATAAAAACAAAGCACCGCGATACTAATGTTTCAGGGGAATATGGTCCCTTTTTTGTCTACATGTTCTTAGACTCTTTCAGAGCGAAGAGGGAACTCCTCAAGGACACATGGAGTGTAAGTTTAGGGACAAATTTCTGGTCAAGATGATACCCATAAAGCAGTGTAGTCGAGTGGCAGTCAATCAACTTTTTAATAGTACAGGCAGTATTTAGACACTGCAGTGTTTTATGTTGGTGGAACATGAACGGCAGCCCCAGTATTTCTCTTATGACTGGTTTACTTTCATAGAGATTTAAGATCTTGGAGTTTATAAAGTCAGTCCCTGGGCTTGTGTTTGATGGCATCAGTTTGAAATGCTTCTGAGACCATTTAGAATTAATTTACAGGTGCGTATGAACTGCAGTTGGCTTCGCTCTGACCTGCTTCAAGCGGGTTTTACATTACCATAGACTTGTATAATAAGGCAAAACATGTCTGACGTGACCAAACGCCGATCAATACAGGTCCTATACAGTTCATGGGAACTCTACAGGCACTCATTGGAGAGTTGTGAGATTTGGCTTCTAAATTTGGAGAAGGGGGCAAGCAAGAGTACCATTTACATACATGGAAGATATGGGCTTGGTTGCATAGAAAGATTTTCTGTTATTATTGTTGTTGATTTGAAATAGCTTTATCATCTGATCCTTCCATTCTTAAGGAATACGGGTAGAAAGAAGAAAGGGAAGGAAGAAGAATATAGATATATTAGTGGCAGTGTGTGCTTTGGCAGACATTGGAGGAGGACACTCACTGAATCAGTGACTGAAGAAATTACTTTAGTTTAAAAGGGGGGTTTTAACATGTGAATATTTTGTAAATGTTGATTAGTTTTTGCTGCAACACTTCCAAAAATGTTTTCATTAGTATGAGATTTAGGGAGGCATTTTGTACATGTGTTGCACTGTATTACTACACAGTACGATATAAGACGGGTTCACTTAGTTTGAATCTTGTTTTTCAGCTTTTGAATCAGTGGAATACGGTTGTTGCATCATCTGCTAAGCCAAAAGAATCCCTGAAATCCAGGACTGCAGCTCAGCATTTTTGTAAGTGTCTGAAAATATTTCCATATTACTATGTACTATGTATGAGATGTGTATTACATTTAGGAGTGCCCAGCAGAGTCCCCCCTTTACAACCAAATGTGTCTAGCAGTGTCCCCCTCCTACATCCAGGGGTGACCAGCAGAGTCTGTCCGTCCTCTTAAATCTAGGAGTGTCCAGCAGAGTCCGTCCGTCCCCTTACATCCAGCCTCCCCCCACTTTACATCCAGAAGTGTCCAGCAGTGTCCCCCTCCTACATCCAGGGGTGTCCTGCAGAGTCCGTCCGTCCCCTTAAATCTAGGGGTGTCCTGCAGAGTCCGTCCGTCCCCTTAAATCTAGGAGTGTCCTGCAGAGTCCGTCTGTCCGTCCCCTCCTACATCCAGAAGTGTCCAGCAGACACCCCCTCCTCCCCCTTACATCTTTGTGTGCCCAGCATAGTTTGGAGGAAGGTCATTAAAAGAGAACAAATGAATTAGCTGTGTTAAAAGGTGATATTGTGCGCCTTGCCAGATAGTTAATGGAGAAGCAGCAGTGGATCAGTGTATTAGGAGTGTATATAGGGCAGATTATATGCTTGGTGAGTTTTACACACATTTAAACTGAGGCTCCTGTTATGAAGATGTCACCCTTGCTGCATACTAGGATTCTAAATTGCTCACCAGCTCCGCTCTCAAACTCATTACTCTACACATAATTTCCCAGTTTATTTACTTGCTGTGGCCTTTACATGGGGATCTCGCTTATTGTATTTAGATGATATCATGCACATATACTTGATAACTGATGCGTTGTTTTTTGTAGATGGAAAAGAAAAGGTCAATCCTCGAGACCTGGAGACCCCTACCATCAAGTGTTCAGTAGCCGCACAATATAGACCACTTCAGTTTTATAGTCACGACAGAGGGAACAGTACAATCCTATCGGAACAATTTCAAGTGAAAAGGACCCTTGACGATAAAACCCAAGATGTCGTCTCATCTGCCCCTTCTGCAAAAAGACTTTGTGTGTCTCTAACTGCAGAGGACTGGGACCTTCTTAATTCTTACTGATCCACTTCTCATCCTTTTCAGTCTTCATGACCAAGGAGCCACTGCAATGTTGATAGGTCAAGCCTGAGTACACCACAGGGGGTCAAGCCTGAGTACACACATTTGGTGTGTTTGCCATATTCTTTGCTAGCAGTTGAAGTAGAATGGAAAAAAAAATAAAACTGCTTAGTATTATAGAGCACAGAGAAACATATTTAACCACATGGAACTGCCTGGTTCCAGCAAGAAAATGTAAAAGTAGATGCAATACTAATGGTTGGATAAGATCTGCCTTAGTTTGGGGTTTTGAGCCTGTTATGCCTACAGATATGAACTTTTAATTCCAAAAAGGCCCATCAACAACAAAGAAAGGGACAGATTCTAGACGTAGCTGGTTTAGAACTGCCTAGCCCGTCAAACCCCTCCCCCCACCCCCAAAATTTGCTTACATGCCAAAGCTTCTCATACTATGATTTGTGCCCACCCCTGATCTCCAGCAGAGATGGGAGGTGGTTCACGGTGGATAATGCCCAGCACTGAGACCATCTCGCTATATTTCAGCTGGAGACCAGGTGTATCCATGGAGGGAGCCATGTGCTAATGTAGATACAGTGCTATACGTAAGCATAGCCACCCAGGGACAAAAAGTGTGTTATTTGCAGGATGACCAGGTGAAAATAAAGGGAAAAAGTCTAAAAAAAAAAACCGCAGCCAGATCTAAGGACTGGTAAGCTGCAATATATTACATTTTTGCCTTGGGTTTAGATATGCTTTACACCAGTTGAGGCCCATGCTCATTTCTAGTTGTTTTATAGACATATAAATGGATGAAGAATGACAAGTCCTTGTGAAAGTTGACAATTACTGAAAATCTACATAGAGCCATAAAAGAAATCTAAAAAATAACTTTACTAAGGTTTCTGTGTTTTTATGTTTTCAAAATAAACTCTATTTTGGTAATGTGCGTGATTTCCTGTGTACCAAACATTTGTCATCATTTATCAGATCTACTATATACACTGAAAACCTCTGTCAATAGAATATAACTGAAAATCCATCTCCACCAATCACCAAGATAAGTAAACGTTCAGGCAATTCATGTGTGCAGCATCATAATAGCCTTTTACTGTGATTTATGATCTGCCAAAGTTTTGGGATCTCTGACCTACAGAGACTGTGTACAAAAAGTGCATTCATAAAAGGGTCATGTGCAGGTAATTCATGGAAAGTATCTTTCTATGATTTGTTGGTGTGTTACTAATTATATATATAGTAAATGTCCCAAATCTGTCGTTTCCTTAAACAGTATCATTGCTTATCTTGTTCCCAGGACTTCCCAGAACCCAGTGCAGTGCTTTGAGTATTGCTGCCTGCTCTCATTGGAGGGATTTCTCCTTACTTATGGCCCCCTGTGCCACCCCGTCACTAGGACAGAAAGTACATTTACAAAGGGGTCACAAGACCCCAAAAAGAATATGAAAGGCAATAAAAGTTTGGGCTGGAGTCTGGTTTGAACAATGGAAAAACAAAACTAAAAAAACTTTATTTGATATACTCTAAAAGCACTAATCTGTAGGAAGCTCCAGTTTCTTCCAGTAAAAATATATACGAATACAGTATAGGGGGAATTTATCAAAACGAGCAGACGAAAACCTGAGCAGTTGCCTATGGAAACCAATCAGCTTCTCTCTTTAGTTTGTTCAGTTAAGGTTTGAAAATGAAAGAGAGAAGGTGATTGGTTGCCATGCACAACTGCTCCAGATTCTTCTGTTTTAATAAATTCCCCTCTGTGTTTTAAAAAATATGTACATACAGTGGTCTCTTGTTACTTGGTGCACACATACTCATCAGACCAGTCCTGACAGTCCTGGACTCCATTTTTGCACAGGCTTCGAGGGATGCAGTAACAGTATTGGTAAAGGACGGGGTTGCATGGCCACCACTGAGAGCCACATGCAGGACAGGATGCCACTAAGAGACAAAGCATAAAATGGTGCTGTTATTGAATTTCTAGAAGTTCTATCCCACTCCTAGTAACCATATCCATCTAGAAGTTTGTAAACTTACTTATTGAAGATGCCCATAGGATGGACTACCTCAATGCACTGACACAATGCCCTCCTTGTGTTGCAACTCACAGAGCCTGCCTTCCGAGCTCAACATCTGAACAATGTAACATTATCATTGCTTGCTGGAAGCAATGCATGATGGGCTATGTAGTCATAAGAAATGTAGATTGCATCGCATTAAGCAGCAGTGAAAGAGGCACAAAGCACACTGGGAATCCAGGAAGTTGTTGGAAGTGACCAGCAGACAGAAGGCAGCACTCACTACATAAAAGGGATTTTTTCAAGTAAGCTTTGATTGCATTATCAGAAACAACTCTAGTATGTATATCTATTATAAGTGGCATTACAGGGGGGTGCGGCCCGCACCAAGGTGCCACCATTGGAGAGGCCTCAGGACTCCCCTGCTATTACAATACTGATATAACAGGAGAGGATATGCTGGGGCTTTACAGCTCCTTTAAGGTTAGCCTACAAAAGGACTATACATTTCTTTTAAAATTATGAGTTTAATTTCCTATTAAGATATTACACATTTATAAGATCATAAGCTGTTCCCGGATTTCTGTTCAGATCTTATAGACCTGGGCCTAAAGCAACATGGCAGCTGAGGGCAGCACTAACTGGCGTGTCCAAAAATCTAAGTCATGTGACTGTGATCTCTGCTGCCTTTTATACAAGTGGTCAGGAAGGCCACTGCTACCACAGCCTAAGAGGAACACATTAAGGTCTACCACTTGTGATACAAAATGTTTCTACTACAGGTACTATAGAGGGTCTCTTGTCTTTCTATGCCTTGTATCCCTCATATGTGCCTGGTCATGTTATATGGTATCATACACCACATGGGGATGGATCTGCTATAATTTAGCAATGATTGTACTTGTTAAACATTGCACATGCTGATCACATGAAGCCTTGTTACACCAACTTACAAAATGAGTGCTCATACTATATCAGTTCCAGATCATACAGCTATGAACCCGGTTCACAGTGCAGCTTCTTTTTCTTATATACTTACGAACTGTAGATTCATCTGAACAGTCCCCGCAGTTATTGATCCCATTACACTTGTAATTGCTGTAGATCCAGATTTGCGGGTTTCCACAGCGGAATATCAGGTATCCAGGCATATTTTTAGGTAGGTTACCTAACAAAGAGAGCACACCATACAGATTGTTGGAACAAAGGTGAGATAGTAGGCTGAGAGTACTCCACACAGTCACCATGAAACAAAGGTATACATCCATTGGCACACGTTTCTTAATCTTAACATTGCACTTTGTCTGATGTTATGTAAAGCTATAATCAACAAATAATTCATACACAATCAGATAGGAAGAGAAAAAAAATTAATGGCACTAATGGTAAGTAATAATCAGTCCAAGGAGGACGTAGATTTCTTGATAACAGTATTTATTAAGCACCAAAATAACGCGTTTTGTGTCTAAAATGCCACTTCCTCAGATTCATGGTGTGGACACATACAAGTTTTGTCACCTGACAAGCCAACACACCACTGAGTGTTTTACATGTCAGCCAACACAGCTTCTATGTGATGCCTCTGAATTATTCCATTTAATGTATACTATGAGCCATGGTGACAGCAGAGGTGACAGAATTGCTGCCATTCGATTGCATTGCCACCACTACAATTCGCTGGAATTGTTACTTTAATTGAGAGAGAGAGAGAGAGAATCTCTACAATACATGCACATTTCCCCATATTTTATCTCTTTACAGGGAAAAATATCAAATCCTTCCAGAAATGCACTCAGCTCCTTTTTGTGGACTAGATGGTGTCAGCCCTGCCTAGTTTTCTCTTAAGAAACTTCTCAGATCCACCTACTCTTCCAAAGTCACATCATAAAGTCTAATTATTGTGTAGTCCCAAGATAAGGACTAGGGGGTGAGCTCAAGTTTGGACCAAATCCAACACAGAAGGAAGTTCCTTCTGCTGCCATCCAATCAGCTGTGGGTTGGAAATTTCTCGTAAGTAAAGGGGCGGGTTGCTGTGATGTTATTGACCTTATATGGCCACATGGCTATATTTGGTCAATGACATTGATCTAATGTGGCCATTTTTACTTATTGCTGTAAATGTATCCAATTCTATTGTAAACCAATTCATAAGCAGAAGATGAGGTTTGTCAAAATATGGGTCCCTAGGGCAAACATTTTCTCCCACTCTCCTTTGACAGACAGCTCCTGCAGCTGTGACAGCAATGGTGAGCCTGGATGGGATGC